TTATAATTATTTATTACTTCTAATTATGTAGATTGAAAATTTGTTCATTTTAAATACTAGAATTTTGTTCATGATGTTTAAATAGTTTGAATGTTTAATTTATTTGTTTGTCAAATCATATAGCTTGATAATTTAATTTTTAATTTCTATGTTTACAACAATATTTGGTAAAATAGATTAAGACTTTGATTGTATTGTGATAAAACAATGAGTTGAGTTAATCGATTTTGATTGTATCATAATAAATATAAATAATATAAAATAAATATAAATATATAAAATAAATTCAAAAACAAGTATTTTTGAGTGCAACAATCTACTAATCTACCAACTCATAATATAAGATGAATCAGATTATAAAATTTCAATTCACCAAGAGATGAGTGAGGTTGAACCAACACATTTTTAACTCAATTTGTAATAAATCAACCAATGTAAGCTAAATTGACTCACTTTAACCCCCTAATGTTACAAATCTCACTTTATTAAATTTTTTAATCGGATAGCAATAACAGAAAAGTGAGTTAGGAAATTTCAATATCGAAATGAGAGTTGTTGAGTGGGTGGTACTGTTAATTAACTCTATAATTATATGTTTGTTAGTAATTGGAAAATGTCTATTCCGACAAACAAAATGAAAGCAGTAGCTGTGTTGTTGAAACGTGTGAAGACAGCAAGGAGCCAATTCCGTGAAAGGGGAAGAGATGAATCATTAGATAGGAATTTGGAAAAGTTAAGGAGAGAATTGAACAAGATAAGGAAGTTGTTCGAGAAAGTAAAGAATAACGAAGAAGAACTGCTTCACCCTTTGTCAGAGGTGGATGGCCATCTTCGAAACTTAGACAGCAAGAGGTTGAATCAAGACATGGATAACATTTGCAAGAGAATAAGTAATTCTGCTGAAAAGTTGCTTCCAAAGAGCAATTTTGATGACTCATCTGGGGAGGAGGATCACGATAGAAGTAGACAACAACACAAGAATCAGTTGCCGCCGCCAAAGAAACTGAATATGAATCTACGGATCCTAGCAGATCATGCACTAAAATGTTTGTTGTCTCTCCTAGTTTTCCCTGAAGGAGCTGTTGTAAAGAAAAGACAAACAATTTATTGGTGGATTGGAGAGGGTTTTCTTGAAAGTACTGAACTGAAAACAGCAGAGAAAGAGGGTGAGGATCTGACGGATATGCTTTTGAAATCGAATGTGATTTTAGCGTATGGTAATAGAGAGTGTCCCATTGTCAATAAATTTCAAATCAATCCTCTCGTTCGTCCTGAGTTGCTGTCACTATCAACAGAAAATCACAGGAGTTATCCATTTCCTCTTAGAATACCCTACAATCACATACGAGGTAAATGGTCAGTACTTGAGCAAAAAGAAGTTGTACTAGGTGAAAATAGTTTGAAACCTAGGATAACTACTATTTTTAATGTTGGTGCCAGTTATTTAAATTTTGGATCTCAATGGTTGGATAAAAACATACAAAATTTAAAGGTGCTTCAACTTGGTTGAAGTAGGGAGTGAACGATTCCTACAGAAGTTGAAGAATCAAAAAGAATCTGACCTATTTTAGTCTTCGTGGGATATCAAGAATATCTAAGCTTCCACCCTCCATTACTCAACTTGAGAGCCTACAAATTCTTGATCTGAAAGCTTGCCACAACTTGGAGACACTGCCTAATGATATTTCCTCAATGAAAAGTCTGACACATCTCATTTTGTCCCAGTGTTACTTGTTGGAAGGCATGCCAAAAGGGATTGAAAAACTCACACAGCTCCAAGTACTGGAGGGATATGCAGTAGGAAATTCTAGAGAGAGTCAAGACAGCATATCAGAGCTTGCAAATTTGAAAAATCTAAGGCGGCTCAGCATACATATAGGATCTGAGGCTGTGATAGAAGATGGGGAGTTTGAAAGTTGGAGAGGGTTGTCTCTTGAGCATCTAAAAATATCATGGGGTGTGTCTGAGAACGGGTACATTGAGAGAATAATTTTGCCTTTGAGATTGAAAAGATTGCATCTTGAAGGCTTTCCAGGGCAGGAAATTCCAGAATGGCTAAAGCCTAGCAAGCTGCCCGAGGAATGCAAAGAGCTGAAACTAATGGGAGGAAAGCTCAAAAGTTTTAATCATGGAGAAAATTTGGAGTGGCGTCTGGAGATAGTGCGTATCGGTTACCTTAAGGATTTGAAAGTCGGTTAGCAAATTTCCCAACGTTGTTTCCTTCGCTTAGCTATGCAGAAATAAAACAAAAATCCAAAACCATTGAAATAATGAGTGTTGACAAGAGAAATGGAACATAATTGATTTTTCGTCTAAAGACCACGGCCATTTAAACAAGTGTAATGGTGGATATATTGACATTAGAATACACTTCTCCCTTACCATAATTTTAAAACAATGAATCAACGGATATTTCATCTTTATATAGTATTTTATTTTCTAATTTGTATCCAACGTTTCACAATAATTGTATTTCTAATACGTATTTACTTTGTGTGTACATAAAGTCTGTCTGTAAGAGGGAATACAATTCCAACAATGAAAAAAAAAATGGCCAATCTTTTGTAACTAAACTTCCAAACCAAGAAAGGTTTAGTTTGGTTAAGACAAAGTCATGCAAAGTCGGATTGAATTGATTGAACTACAAATTAGGCTTGGATGATGTGAGCCTAAGGAGGATGGATTGAACCCCTTTGCAATGAAGAATATCCGTTGTCCAATAAAATATTCAGTAAATTAGTTGCAAAATATCAATTATTGGCCTGGAAAGATGTTCCCACCGTATCTACAACTTTGTATCTATTGTGTTCAACAAAGTTTCTATTTCTTTATTACTGTATTCTTTAAAAATTGGATCTCACAATTATGCATAACTCGGTACTAAGATAATTCGTGTTTATGTTACTTGAGTAACCTATACAGCTTTGTGGCATGTTGCAAGAAGCACAATTTTTTATTCCATGCTTCTACCATATTTGAAATTGGAACTTTTTAATGTGTATACGACTATGCTTCTAAAAGCAATTTAGACTCTAATAAAATAGTTTAATACATCATTTGGTCCCTAGTTTTAGGCTTTTCGTTCAAAGTCGTTTTATCTTTTAAAAAAGTTTAATAAGGTCCCATATTTCGTTAAAAACGGTTCAAAATGGTCCTTTTGGCTTACGGCGTTAAAAACATAACAGTGCAATTGTCTTCGTGGCAAAAACTAAATGATGTGTACAGTTTTTGATTGTGTGGCAAGGTGAGGTGAATTGAGTTGGCAAGGTACATGGAAAAGTTAAAAAAATGAAGTTGTTAGGTAAAAGAAAAGGGTTAGGGTTTGTGCAAAATCATGTGTAAAATTAGAAACCCCAATTGCAATTTTCAAAATCAGAATCTCAATTCACAATTCACAAAATCATGTACAAAATCAGAAACCCTAATTGCCAATTTGCAGTTCACAAAAAATTAGAAACCCCGTCTCTCTCCCAACATTTCGGTAACCATCACCCCATTGTCTTCTTCTTCACCTCAAACACCCACAACCAGAAAAAACCCATTCAAGGAGAAGGAAGAACGTTGAAAAATAATTGAGAAAAAGGACTGGTGGTAACGTTAGTGGAGTTCCTAGCCAACGAGGCGCTTTGGAAAAGATGCAGCAACACCGATGATCACATTCGGCTCCGACGCTAAGGACTTCACGCCTGGCTTACTCGTCTCACTTAATTTGGAATTTATTTGTTTATAGATTGTTGTGTTAGAACCAATTTTGGTGGCTTATTTGGTGAATAATAGGGTGAATCTTCAAGAGGGATGTACTGTAACTTTATCAAGTGGTGTAATGAAGAAAAGATTGACGAAAGAGATGGTGAAATTGTCAGAGAAAGGATAAAATTGTTAGTTGGAGTTGTGTGTGTTGTTATTGTGGTGAATATTTGACAATGTGGGTCTGTTTAGATTGAATCTTAATGTTTACGTTCAGGTGTAGGTGTTCATGTAATGTGAAGGTGAAACTCAATCTTTACGTTCAGGTGTTTATATGTAACGTTAAATTTAGTTTCCCCTTTGGTCAAAAAATGTGCAATGTGGTCCCCTTTTCAATTTAAAACTGTGTACTTGGTCCCAAATGGATATCAACGAAAAACACATGAAAGATATCTGACTTAGTTTCCACGATTAGTTTCCACCTCCAATCCATCATTTTTTACCACCTCCACTCCACCATCCACCTCCTCTCCACCATTAGTTTCCACCTCCAGTCCACCATCTTTGTCCACCTCCACTCCACCATCCACTTCCTCTCCACCATTACTTTCCACCTCCACTCCACCCTCTATTTCCACCTCAAACCCTAACTCCCAAATCCAATAACAAGAACATCAAGTAAGTAGGCTAGGGTTAGCAACACTTACCTCAAGTACGTACGCTCTTCAAATTTCACCTTTAAGGAATCACTACGCCACAGTGATTACAAGACCAGTTTCACCAGATTGTTAAACCCAGAAATCGCGATAGGATTCTTAGATAAGTGTAATTTGATTTAACCCATTTCGTTAAACTTAGCTAACGTCATTTTTTTTATTTTAATTTACACATTAAATATAACAAATGTGCCACGTATTGCAAAAACTTTACACATCATTTGGTTTTGGCCACGGAGACAACTGCACCGTTATGTTTTTAACGCCGTAAGCCAAAAAGACCATTTTGAACATTTTTTAACAAAATATGGGGTCTAACTGAACTTTTTTAAAACGTAAAACGACTTTGAACAAAAGCCCAAAAACTAGAGACCAAATAATGTATTAAACCTAATAAAATTTAATGGATGCCTTGATAGCTCCAACACAACCTTTGGAAGTTATCTTTTAGTTTCTTATTAAAAAAAGAATAGTTTTCAAAAGTATTTAAAATATATTTTTTACTTTCTTATTTTAAAAATAACTTCGATTAATATTTTTGGGATAACATATTAAATACTTTTAGAATAACACGTCAAATGAGTCGAATTGAAAAACATTCTTAATTGAAGGGATGATATGAGGATTTTTATAAACTAGAAGTTAAACCGGGTGATGGGTATTAAAATTATGAATTTTACAAAATCTAAGTACAAAACTATAATATACAATACATTACTTTTCACTCGCCATAGTTTGTTAAGCTAAAAGATGAATAAGAAAGAATATAAAATCTAAACCACAATCCAATGGATAAGCTAAGTCAATACACTATCAACAAATGAAAGGTTTACATTTTATAGAAAATTAACTATAACCGATACATAATATAAAGAAACAAACTTATTTATCAATATAATTTTAAAAGATAAATTTACGCATAGTTCAATTTTATAAAACTGATTTCTAAAATGAATTTTTCACCAACTTGTGCAATAAGATTTAAGCATGAGACCATGTAATATCCATCCATCCCCATTGGTTCATGGGGATGCCTAAGGCTTTCCACACAGCCATTGAGGCAGCAACAATGTTGTTGGCACAAGGAGGTTGATAGCCATGATGTTTGTCACATCCTTGTGATGAGTCACATTCATCAACCACCATGGCCACCACACTTCTGCCATTGCCTCTAATGGTGATGTTATGGAGGCAAATGCTCTTGTGGTCGAACCATCCAGTGGAAAGTGCCACCACAGATGTGTCATCAGAATGATATTGGTTGTCACATTTTGAAGGGCTGTCGCCATCTCCACCCTTCTCAAAGCTATTAAGAGTGAGATATGCTTTGGTGTGACTAGACACTGTTGGTGAACATGTGTATGTGGGATATGTTTTTCCTGGCACACAGCACAAATCATCCTCTTCATTGCAATGCCCTGAAGGCATCTTTCCTCCTTTAACTCTGCCACTAGGTTGGCATTTTTCAGCTTCAATGTTCAAACAATTTGACAGGAAGAGAAAGACCAAAAAAAGAAAGGTTGCTCTTGTGAAAAAATTAATCTTCATTTTCTATGCTGATTGTTTGGTTCTACTCTGTGTTCTTTTGAGTGCTTTGATGCAAGAATGAGAAGCTTATTTAAAGAGACTATGTTTAAACTATATGACAATTAACAGCAAGATGTAGTTGATTGTTATAGGAAGTGATCCTTTAGAAAAATGGTAGAAACAACTATGTTCTGCTTTGTTCCTTCACAAAATGACAATTTACAGTATCCAAAAGTTTGTGTATTTCGCTCTCTGCATTCCATAGTTTGAGGAAACAACCAAAGGACATGTCAAAAGTTGGGAACTAAAATTGCAATTTGTTTAGGTAATTGTGGTGTAGGTTGTTGAATGGTAACTTGTGTTGTGCTAGTTAATACCAACCAATAATTTACTAATTATGGTCAAATGAAATAATCAAAATCATGAGTTAGATTTATAATTTACGTTCTAAGATTTATTGAGAAGTAGGTGTAGATGTTGACTGCAAACTCAACTTACTAGTGTGATATGCAATTAGAGGTTGACACTCCTTTATTAAATTGCCTTAAATATACTTGTTGATTTTGAAAATGATCTTGTTTTTCATTTATTTATAAATTGTTCACTTTTAACTGTTGAAAATATATAACTAACAATGTATTTTAAATTCTAGGCGAGTAACTAAAATCGTATCACTTTTAACAAGTAAATAATATTTATAAAAACAATTGATGTGAAACCAGGTCATCCGGTCCAATCCGGCTTAGCCCACCACGAGTTAGTCATTTAGTGAGTTAATCCAACCCTGCTTATTTATTAGCGAGCCAAAAAAATTTAAACCTGGTCTGATCCATCAAGGGTTGGTGGGTTAAACGGGTTGGCTCACTAGCTCATTTAATTACAAGTTTTTTTTAAATCCAAAAAAAATTACAATTTTTTTGTAATTCAAATTTAAATAATTTCATTCTAAAAGATGTTGAACTTCAAAGACAATTTAAAATAAAAAAATTAACATACAACTCAAATGTAATCCAAAAGCAAACCCAAAAAGCGAATAAATAGGTTTATATATCCATTTATAATATTAGTGTATTGAATGCATAAATTTATAATATTTTGCTCTCTTGAAACATCTTTTTTCTTTATTCCCTTTATAATACAATAAAAAAATGATAACTAATAATATTGAAATAAAAAATAAAAAATAAAAAATAATTAAATTAAACTAGGCGAAAATTGACCCATATAAAAAAATTATTTTTTTCAAACTCAATCCGGTCTGAATCTGTGGTGGACAAGGTTAATCCGCGAGTTCTAACATATTTTGACAATAGTAGTAAAAACTAATGAGTTGTCTTTTTAAAACCTTAATTCTAGGTTTAATACATCATTTGGTCCCTACTTTTAGGGTATGGTTCAAAGTGATCCTATCTTTTAAAAAAGTTTAATAAGACCCCATATTTCGTTAAAAAATGTTCAATCTGGTCTTTTTCGCTCACGTCGTTAAAAACATAACGATGTAAATGCCACCGTGGTCAAACCTGAGTGAGTATTGCAGTTTGATGAATACGTGACATGTTTGAAGAGGTTGCACTGTGTAAATATTTTAAAAAAATTAAAATGACGTAAGTTAGGTGCAAATCCCAATAGTCACACCATATGCAAATCCTCCAACCTGGTCCAAAATCACTCTCTAATGATGATGGAATGACAACGCCATTGCATTTGCATCAGAGGGCTCCACCCCAATAATCCTCACCTTTGGATTAACCCTCTTCACATAACAATCACCATAGAGCAGATAACTCCCTTTTCCAACAAATCCTTGGGAAGTTTTGCCATCATATTATAAGCTCCACGAATCTTAAATGAGAAAATGGGTTGCAAATCCTCTCTCTTGAGCCAAACCTTAACCCCGAGTTTTCGAGAAAGCTTTGGTGCCAATTGTAGAGAGGACTCAATTGCTACGTCGTAGACCTTCGAAGTGAGAATATTCGTCAAATAACTCAACGCATTCATCACGCCGTCGCCACCACTGTCGGACCGAGACCGGTGGGGAACCGCACCGACGTATTCCGGTGGGTACTGGAGGGAATCCTGCTAGACCCGGGGGTGCGGGGAGCCACTAGNGACAACGCCATTGCATTTGCATCAGAGGGCTCCACCCCAATAATCCTCACCTTTGGATTAACCCTCTTCACATAACAATCACCTTAGAGCAGATAACTCCCTTTTCCAACAATTCCTTGGGAAGTTTTGCCATCATATTATAAGCTCCACGAATCTTAAATGAGAAAATGGGTTGCATATCCTCTCTCTTGAGCCAAATCTTAACCCCGAGTTTTCTATAAAGCTTTGGTGCCAATTGTAGAGAGGACTCAATTGCTACGTCGTAGACCTTCGAAGTGAGAATATTCGTCAAATAACTCAACGCATTCATCACGCCGTCGCCACCACTGTCGGACCGAGACCGGTGGGGAACCGCACCGACGTATTCCGGTGGGTACTGGAGGGAATCCTGCTAGACCCGGGGGTGCGGGGAGCCACTAGCTGGGTATCCTTTTGCAAGTGAAGAGTTTCAATGCATGTGGGGTCCACGATAAGATGAAGAGAAATATTATATTTTCTTCCTGTTAGTGTAGACGTTGGAATCCTGAGAGTTAGAAGGAGTTTTTGATATTGGCATTTAATGGTTTTCATGGTACCTACCTTGGGAGGGAAATCATAATATGGTTAATACCAAGTGCATGAAATTGTTGTTGTGCATGTGCTGCTATGTCCCTTGTTGATAGGTAAAGTACGCAAATGATATTTTGGTGATGCATGGGTGAATTATAAGAATGGTGAAGGGTTACAGGCTAAGGTTTTCGTTGTGCAGCAGAGGTTATCTAATGGTCACAGTTTTGTTGTTAATAAGCAACTGGAGGTGGGTGTATAAAATTGGTGCATTGTTGGGTAGTGTCCAAAGAAATATTCTCTCTTTAATCAATACATTAATATTTCTCTCTTCAACCATTAAAAGTCATTTACATTTCTCTATCTCTATATTTAATTCTTCAAACAGCCATTTATGTTTCTTTCTGCATTTAATTCTTTGAACCATGTATTCATCAAACTGCACAGCTCCCTCAAGTTTGGTCACGGTGACAGTTGCACCGTTATATTTTTAACGAACGATGTGAGCAAAAAGAACCATATTAACAAAATATGGAGCCTGAATTTTTTTAAAAGGTAATGCTTTAAACCAAAGTAATGACCAATATTAAACTTTCTATCTATTACTATGAAGAATATTTGAATGACCAACTCCCCGTAACACCTTTTATGATGTTTTATTTGTCAAGGAAAGGTGCCATAATAACCCGCCCTCGAAAATATAAAATCTTGAAAATCTTATCTGAGATTATTATTCATAGCATTACGATACTCGTCTTCCCTAGTTTTTTTTTTCCCACTATTACTGTAAAATAGAATTAGTATTAAATAGTTGCAAATAAATGTAAATTTAATATTGTGAAACTTGTTTTATAAAATTAAGTTAAATTTAAATTTATTTTTTACTTAATGAAATTTTAAATTCATGACAAATTTTAGCATTTCATTGATAAAGTTTAATCTTTAAATTTTAAAATTGAATTAAATAATTTTTTTGTGTAACATCTCTTTTAACATTTCTAACTCAAATGTTATCCTATAATACTATTTAACAAACCCACAAAAATAAACATTATTATTATTAGATTAAAAAGATTATATTAATTTATTTCTAAAGTTTGGAATCCATATATTAAGGTTTGAAAATAACAAATTTCAATTTCGTACGTAAATTCACAAAGTTCACAGAAAAAAAACATAATTTTATTATTAATTTGACATTTGAAAGTTTTACAATTTTTAATTAAATCTTGTTTAACTTTTATTAATTAAAAGACATGATTATTATCTTATCTCATTATTTTATTTATTTATCACCCCATATCATTTTATAATTTACAATTTTATACTATTATAATTTTATAATTATCACTTATCTCACAATTTCATCACCCTCTCGTCAACTTCAAAAAACTTCACATTTACTATCAACTTCATTCATGTTTGGTTTGGCACTCGATGATGTCAAATATAAATATTTTTTAAATTGAAAGCATAGATCTAAATATCAAACTAAACTTGCACTTGGTTTGCTACAAAGAATACACACATAAAAATTATTCCCCATATATACAAACAAAATTATTACATCCTAATTTTATTTCCCATTCTCTAAATATATTCTAAATATATTACTTTATTTCCCTTCATTTGTTTGTCTTTTGTTCTTCAGTTTTACCAAACAACCAAACAATCATTTCATTTTCTACTAAAATCTTCTCATTTTCTATTTTATCGTGTATCCTTTCTTTCGTAACCCATAGGCTATGTGGAAAGACTTGGCTGTGTTTCGTTAGCAATGGGGTGCTCTTAGGGACAATAAAAGATCATGACGGATATTCTATAAGAAGGAATGGGCGTTTCTATTTTGCAATTTAATTGATTCTGTTAACTCTATAATCAGGTATATGTTGGTGGTCATCATAATGTAAATTATGAAATTTCTTGCAGTAAATACTTTCATTGCAATGTGTTTTGTTCAAGGAATGTGTATTTCTATAATCACCTGTGTTAGATTGTAAATTACGAACATTCGTGCAATAAATACTTTCATTGCAAGTGTTATGCGTTTTGTTCAACTTTCCAAATTTCCCTTCGTAAGTGATCTAACCAATCAAAATTAGAACTACCAAAAGCTTTTTCTCACTGACAGAAGTCAGCTACCTAAATCAAATGCCGTTATAATGTTTAGTAGCAAGTCATACTAATAAACAAATTGGCTTTTAGATCTTTAACATAATCCTATAAATAGCTTGTCCCCAATCTCTCTCTGCCTCTACCCCATTTGATCTATTCTCCTTAATGTGCATACAACCCTAGGACTCTTTTCCTGCCTGGTTATGAAAAACAAAGGGGAGAGGCTCCCTTTATAAACTGTTAATAGTCAT